GCACAATTAGGTCTCTTGGAAACTAGCTCCCACTTGCATTAAGCTTTGCTTCTTCATTTCTACATGATTCATTCTCACTATTGCCATTTTTTTCCCTAAAACTGTAGGAAAAAAGTCACTCATTTAATTACTCAGTGAGCTGATCATGTTCTGTCTCTAATGCTACTCAGACACTAGTGCAGTGGTTTAAACCATGTTAATATTGTTCAATTTAATAAATAAGGTCACAGAGCTCTTTGAACCATTTGCTACATATAATCCAACAGCTTTCAGTGCACTAAGGCATTGATCCTATTCAGTTTTATGTAATGAACTTCTATGTGCGCATTTTAGATCAGGCAATTTATTTCACTCTGTTTACTCAAACAAAATGAGTGCATGGCCTTACAAGTGGAAGAGTAATTCACTGACTGATAGAACATCTTCTTCTCAAACGAATATTAAGGAAATTTCATCCCTCTTCAAAAATGAAGATGAGCAGTTACTCAGAGTTTCATTTTGATGTGCTTCAGAGCTGCAGCAGTAGCCTTCCATTCATGCACTCATGTATACATAACACAGACGTCCACATCCTCTTAGCTCAGCCCATGTTATCTATTCCCTTTCAGTCCATGAACCGTTATTATTTTTCTCTTTAAAACATATCTTAAAACTCAATTTACATGGAAACATTCTAGAATTAATTCTACTTATTCAACGGACTAACCTTTTATTTTAAATTTATGGGAAGTTTCAAAGATACACAAAAATAGAGGGACTAATATAATGAGTACTAGCCATGTAGTCATCATTTACTTGGGTTTAGCAGTTCTTAACATATTGGTGTTCTTGGTCATCTGTCACTCTCCACACAAAAAGAATTTTGCTAGCGTATTTTAATGCAACTTCCAAGTAAGATACATATCATCCATAAATACTTGAGCATTTTAACATAACAATAGTATTATTATTACATCAAACAAAATCAACAGTTCTTTCCAACTATCTAATATTTGAACCTGTTTAATTTTTCTCCAGTGTCTCAAAAATGTTTATGCTTAGTTTGTTCAAACTAAGGCTCTAAAAGGTCTCCACACTGCATCTGCTTCGTGTATTTCTTAGGTCACTTTAATCTAACAACAGCTCTAGCACCCTTTTTCATAGCATTTATTTGTTGAAGAAATTTTCTTATTTATCTTTACACCATTTTCCCAATATTGATGAACTAAGCTTGCTTAACTTGATTCATAACCCACACATGTAACCCACAAATCAGTCATATTGATTCCTCTCATGCTTTCAACCTGCCAGGAACAGCCTGTCCTATATCACTTATGTAAAAATTGTTGTGCTTTATATGAATAAAATAAATGAAGTAAATGGATATAATCAACCTAGAATTAAATACGGAATTTTACTTTAAAATAATCATTTTAATTTTTGCTAATCTCACTGAGAAGATTTTGTGGTGAATTATCTGTGGGGTAACATTTTTTTTGCCCCATCTTGTTAACAAGGCTTTCAGTTCAAAGGAGAACATGTGTAATCATTAGATATCACATATACATGCTTCACCTATAAATACAGATACAATTGTCTGTGTATATGTAGTTTTCTGGTGTGCTAAGAAGCTGTGCTCTTAGTATGATCAGTCTTTTCTACAGTTCAAACTACCCAGTTTTCAGTGTTTCAGAAATGATTTTGAAGATTTACAAAATTGAGAGACCAGATGGTTTCCTTTCCAAACATTTGTATTTTCCTCGCCCTAATTGTAGGAAGTTCATTTCAGATTGCATTTCTGTGTTTGAATTGTTGGGTTTCCTCTAAGTCAGATTCCAAACAAGTTGAGATGTAGGAGAGATTTTCAATATATTGTACAAATGATGCTGTTGCTACGTGTTTGGATAACATTGTATGAGTAATTTATTCCAAAAGTACACTGTCTAAAATCTCAGATGAGGAGTGTAAAGTGCTGAGTGGGTTTCTGAGAATAGCTGTGAGAATTTTACACATTTTTTTTCTTTTCAGCTAGCTGAAGTACATAAGATTTTTTGTAGTGCAGGTATATAGGGAAAAGGCATTCCAATTTATGTGAATACTATATATCTGCACAAAATAAATTGTTTCTGGAATTGTATTGGTAGAAGTGTTATTTCATTTTGTTTTTCTTTTTGGTGTCACATAATAGGATAGTGGTTGGAGCAATTCTGAAATAAAATTTGTAAGAAAGACCCTTAATAGAGAACCTAAGTCACTATTATCTAATTTCTCAAAAGATTTATATTCAAGTCTTTTTCAAAGAGTTAAATTGTACGAATAGGTAAAAGTAGTCTCATTTCAAAGAACCCAATTTTAGTTTGGTAATTTTTAATTTTCTTTTAGTTATAAGAAGGGCAACCCTCTTCACAGTTAGGATTCTCATATGATCAGATGTCTTATTTTCCAGGTATATCATCCTTGAGGCTCTGGCATGTCCCGATTAGTAAAAAGTTCCGTATTTTTCTGGTTATCAATTCTTTTTTTTGAGCATCCTTGGAGCAACTTTGTCCATGAGCCATCAGCACTTACTAAGTTTAAAGAATTTAAAAGGGTCAGTCCTGCTTCCAAATGACAGGTGTAGAAAGAACTTCAGAATCACATCAGCTCATTTGTAGCCTGCATCTTGGGGATTTCTCCTATACCATGCTGCAGATGTTCATCTAAACTATATGGATGCTCTTTTTTTTTTTTTTTTTATCCCCTGTCTATGTTTCTGTCATGCCCTTCCTTTGCACTCCAAGTTTAGAACTCTTTTAGTTCATACAATGTTTAGCCATTGTTTCCCAAAGCTTAGCATGGTACCAGGGCAATTAGGTACCAAAGAAGGACTTTCTGTCTTAGCCATATGTGTTTGCCAGAACCCTTCCTGTACCTTGAATATTCAAGCTAATGAGTCTCAAACTTGAATGTGCATAAGGATCACCAGAGCATCTTTTAAAAAAGTACGTATTCTTTGATCCCATAACAGACACCTCAATATCTGGATGGGTCCAGATTATGGAACTCTTTTTGGGTCCAGGGATCTTCAAGTTTAATAGCATTCTAGGTGTTTCTGATGCACGTGGAAATACGATGCCTACTAGAGCAGTGGTTCTCATAGAGCCTGCATAATTAAATCATCCGAAAGCTTAAAAAGTATCGTAATTCTCAGGACCCCAACCTCAACCAGGGAAATGAGAATATTACAGTTTAGCAAGGGCATAGGTATCTTCCAAAGGTAATCAGGGGATTGTAATCTCCAGCCAGACCTGAGAACCTCTATCTTAGACTGCTATGATAAATACAGATCACCAGATGTGTCCTCCCTTAAGTGGGTAGATTCTCTTTGAGACACTTAATGTTTTTTTTTTCTGTCACCTAACATTCATCAAGGACACCACTGTTCACCCTACCAGGATGTTCATACTTTTAAAATTTTAGGGGCCCCTGTTCTTTTCTGACAACTTGTCTCTTCCAATGTCATGTGCACTTAATGAAAAGCACACCTAAAGCTAAGAAATAGGGAAGTACATCCACATTTGAACAATGTAGAAGGGTCTTTTACATTAGGACTAAAGCAGTTGCCTTAAGTTGTGTTCAACTACACAGAGAACATCTGGCCTTGCTACAATTGCTAGTTATATCCATTTACAAACTCTATTACAAAGCCTTGCACTCCTAGGCATGAGGTTTTAGTACATAGATCCAGATACTGTTGTCTAACCTGAGGCCCTCTGTGCCCTGGGCAACTTTGTCCATGAGCCATCAGCACTTACTAAGTTTAAAGTATTTAAAAGGGCCAATCCTGCTTCCAAATGGCAGGTGAAGAAATGTTAGAAATGTCAGGCTCCTTCACCTTGATTTCATGATGGTGGAATCCTGAAGAGGGCAGAGATCAGCGGCAGTTTCAGCCTAGACCATAAACCTGAAAAAGCCATGTAAATCACTCTGAATGAGGCCATTTAAGATAATTCAATGAAGACAACTTTAGGACCAAGGTTTAAATGTTCCATCTGCTTCCTCAATTAATAAGTAAGTTGTTTCTAAAACCAATAGGAAGGAAATGGCTTAGGGAGAAAATGGACTTTAAACATACATGCTCTTTTTCTTTAAGACTTGTTACCATAAAGCAATCGTGTGTGTGTGTGTGTGTGTGTGTGTGTGTGTGTGTATGTTCAATAGATAAAAATATTTCTTATTTTAAGTCAGTAGAACAATATCTTAGAAGAAATAATTTCTATCAATTGAAACTTTTAAGAATTTTTATGTAATTCTAGAAATATAAATTTTAACATAATGAATTAAGAATATTGAATACTTTTAAGTGCAAAGTTGATGTTTGTGCATGTGAAGAACTTGTAGAAGGAGGAGATGGAGGACTTTGACACTGCCCATCCATTCCTCATTCCAACCCATCCTAGTAAACTTGCAGTATACTACAGTGAACATACTTTTCATGCCATTGCAGTTTCATGATAAGTTCTGTAAACACACCTCCCTGACCTCAACCTACCAACCAGCTTGTGGCCACTAAAACACAATTTCATAGATATTCTAGGGTGTCCAATGATACCAAACAATATTAGAGGTACCTGGTGTCTCCCAGTCCCTCTGCAAACATCCCACGCTCAATATAAACTATTATCAGAACCCATGTATGATTTGTCTTACATTCTTAAAACTTTATTTCTAAATATCCTACATGTGACATCAATTGAAACCCTGAATAGATATAATTAAAACTGCTAAATGCCAAGTGTGCATGTGTCCGCTTTTCTGTGCCACAAAAATCACTCAAGGTTATGTGTTATTAACAAAAAAAACTACAAAACCAATATAATGGCAACTGTGATTATTAGAAATACTCCTATAAGATTTCTACTGTAAGGAAGGAATTAAAAGAGGCTTTCTCTGACTGCTTAACCAAATGTTAGGTTAGCTTCTAAATTATAGAGTAATGAGATGTTTGCATTTGTTATAACAGTTTTATGTTTTTCTTTTAGCCATTACTTGTCGCAAGCAAGATGGAGGACAGGCTGGAATCCATGAGTGCTTACAGTACGCAGGCCCTGTACCAGCCCTTACCCAAACCTGCCAGATCCCCTGCCAGGATGACTGTCAACTGACCAGCTGGTCCAAGTTTTCTTCATGCAACGGAGACTGTGGTGCAGTTAGAACCAGAAAGCGCACTCTTGTTGGTAAGAATAATTGAGAAGCCAGTACGCGTCAAAGTAGAGAAACACAATACGAGTTAGACTAAGAGAGTTCTGACAATGTACTTGAAAGATAATATACCAGTGGATTCAGATGTGTATTTTAAATTCAGTTGGCAGTGATAAAAGCATTATGTTCTTTCAGTAGAAAGAAAAGGAAGCTTTGAGAATTGAACTCTGACTCCCTATTTAATGTGTGGTACATTATTTTCCAGTGTAGACATGATCTTTTAGTGGACTGCCTGCAGACTGTAAAGTGCTTGGAGCAAAGTCTTTGGGGGACAAAAGAAAAAGTTGCTACTTCATTTATTTAACCCATTCTCATTATCAGAGCCTCAGATTATCCTTTCTCACCTAGAAAGGGGCATATAGCATTAATTCTGTTATCTGAAAACTGTATTTTAAGCCATAATAATGACTGAAAGCAGGAATATAATGAGCAAGAACTAAAGCTCGGTGCATCTGAAGTATTGCCAATGGCAAAAGAACCCAAAAAATATTGGTGCCAGTAGACTATTCATTACTTAAGTTAAAAAATGAACCACCTATGTAATGAAGACTGTCGAAAACTATATAACACAGCTTATGAAGGTGAGAAGTAAATATATGTAACTAGTTATATGTAGCATAATTTAAAAGTATGTGAAAAGAAGTGTTCTGAAAAAGCAATATAAATGTTACTGTGCGAAGCACACAATACCAACAACAGCCTATATAGAAAACACTGTCGGGTGAGAAAATAGCATGGATTTATAGGCTACTGTTAAATAAGGTTAAAAATGGAGAAAAGGAAATTAGGAAACTAGAAAATTTAGGGATGTGTGAAATTAATAATGGTATTTTCCAGCTTAAATTGTCTGGTGGTTTCTCTTCCACAGGAAAAAGTAAAAAGAAGGAAAAATGTAAAAATTCCCATTTGTATCCCCTGATTGAGACTCAGTATTGTCCTTGTGACAAATACAATGCACAGCCTGTGGGGAACTGGTCAGACTGTATTTTACCAGAGGGAAAAGTGGAAGTGATGTTGGGAATGAAAGTACAAGGAGACATCAAGGAGTGTGGACAAGGATATCGTTACCAAGCAATGGCCTGCTATGATCAAAATGGCAGGCTCGTGGAAACATCCAGATGTAACAGCCATGGTAATTAAATTTTTATTGTTATATATTTGCTATCTTCACGAGTGTGGAGGGAAAAGGCACATGTATCATAGTAGAATGGAAGTGAAGCTTTAAAGAAGTATATTCTAAATTAAGCTCTATGAAGCACCATACTATACATATATCATTTATATGTAACAGGACATTCAATGGCATTGCCTCTTTGTCCAGAAGTTGGCAACTTAAGTCCCAAAGATGGTGACAGGAAGCCTGATGGGGCCCACATCTTACAAAGGGTGGGCAAAACTGGTGCCAGAAAGGTCCTCCAGAACTTATCAAGAGCCTGTACATTGGATACACCCAAAATCCCCAACAAGTCTGTGCATAGAAAGGGAGTAAGGAGGAAATAAGATTTGAATCAGTTTGAGATTTAAACAGACTTTTAACAACCAAACTGGCAAGCTTTGCCATGTGCCCAAAATGCCATTAACCAACAGAGAAGATGGAAACTAGTAACTGGTGAAAACTCAAACATTTATTAATTCTCCATTGAATTCAAATTGGCACACACACACACACACACACACACACACAGAACACAGAAAGTATGCATACTCCTAGGAAACTGTGCCCTTTTATTTTCTAAACCAAAAAAGAAAGCAAAAATGCAGCAATAATAATTGGGTTGCCAAAAGTTTGTGAACAGTGCCATCTTTAACCAGAATATATTTAATCTTAATATTGGCAGTATTAAGCAATTTTCTCCATTATTCTTTTATTTTAATACATTTGTCTTTTTACAATGGAATGAAAGCAGTTTACAGTGGGGCAGCCTGGAACATAGATATCATATCTTTGCAAACACTAGATGATGATCTCTTACTTAGTTGACAGAAGTGACCAAAAAAGGATGACTTAAATGGCTAGGAGCACGGTACATGGCAGTTATCCTCCAACCTTGCCGAAATATTAATAACTGCTGCTGTTGGAATGGTGCTGCTCCAGTTTTATTACATGGTTCAGAAAACAACACTAATAAAACCATCTCACATTTATAAACCATCAAGGTATCATGGTGACATAGTTATTGAAATCTTCTAAACATCTCCCTACAAAGAAGTTTCTAGAAGTCTTGCCCTTTTGTTTCTATCTTATCACATAGTTCCTATTGTATCGAAGTCTAATGATATGCAAAGAAATGATAAATATTTGAGGTGATGGGTATCTCAGTTACAGTGATGTGATCATTACAATTATGTACTGTAATATCACATGTACCCCATAAATATGTTTAAAATTTCCATCTTGACCATCTTTAAGTGTATCGTTCAATAGTGTTAAGTACATTCACGATGTTGGGCAATCAATCTCCAGATGCTTTTCTTAAAAAATAAATTTTGTGTATATTTAAGGTGAACAAAAACAGTCTAATGGTATGAACCTCAAAGACTCCACAATATTGAAGCTCTAGATATAAGTATTTTTCAGGTTAATATATGTGCATTGCTGAATTGAAGATTATTACATGCCTTGAGAACAATAATTAGTAAAGGGAATTTAATATTTATAATCAGTATGATTTGAGAAACATCTCAAAGAGTAATTGAATATTTTATTCTCTACATCAAATAACATAAGTGTTATAAATTAGATATCAAGAAAAATCTAAATTCCCTTTCTATTTTGGGGTGATAATATAGAAAACCATAATTAGCCATTAAAATATAAAATTGAAGATCATTTTAAAAATGTGTTTTTTGTGGAATGCAGCATATAAGTGTTTGGTTAGATTTCAGCTTCTTATGCATAGTGAATCACTAAAACAATCATTTAACATTACCTGTGAACTTCCAGAATAACATTCATATTTTCTCACTTTTGCCTTGATCTGTTAATTAGATGCATGAGAGCATCAGCAAGCTACTTCAGTCAATCTTATATTTAGAAAAATCTTTTAAAATATTCTGTAACCCTCACAGAAATGTTTGATCACTTCAAAAAAGGAAAAGAACAAAAATAATTGAAATTTCCCAAAGGCAGTATACATTTCTTATTTTAGCATTGTCAACTCACAGCATGAAGAATGCAGTACTGTATTCTAGGGAAATGCTCTTATAGGAAAATGATGAAACCATGCTGACATTGACCTCACAGGGATTCTGAAAGTATCTAAGAAAGATTCTTAACGAAGTGTATGGTTCCCGCTTAGTTCTTCTGTATGTCCTGCATCATTCCTGTCTCAATCTGGTATCTGATGGGATGTCCAATGAGGTATTTAACATTTACTAACATAATTACTCAAAGTCTGGAGAAATGAATCTCTAATGCCTCATTTCTTTGGAAATTCTTACTTTCCTTAAATATGTACCGTCAATTCTGGTGTTTGTGGAATGTTCCGACTTTGCCACTCTCTCCCAGTCATTCCCTAGTTGTAATCTCTGTGACAACTGCTTTCTTCCAGCCAAATCAGCTTTCTAGATGAATGGTTTTTAAGTGGCTCTCTAGAAAAAGTCTCTTCCCGCTTTCAGTTTAAACACAGAATTGATCCCCATATGTGTGCAGTGCAATGACAATAATCCCCCATTCAATAGTGATCTTAGGGTATTTCTGTTTAATCACTGGTGTCCATCTGTGGATCATAATACCATTTATTCATAAAGCAGCGTGACTTTTCACCAGTTTAATTATATTATTGTAGACAGTTTCCCATTGGGTCACTTTTTTTTTAATGTCTTAAAGTTGAGGCAGAATTCTTTTATTTTTAAACTTCCATGTTCTATTTTTAAACTTCCGTAGACTCTGCACTGAAAAGTGATGTAACTATGTTGCCAAAATCAGATGTTAGAGTATACTTTGGGAGCCACATAAATGTTCATCCTTATGCATGATATTAAATATAGTGACTGCAGACTGCAGGAATGTTGATTTATAAGCACATTTATGGCATTTATCTGTACTAAAGTCATAATACAAATTATGTATATTTACTCTTGGCACGAAATCTTGGATGGTGTCACTACAGCAACAATTTTTTTAGCAGCTTTAAATTTTTTTTTTTTAATTACACTTTACCTTCTGGGATACATGTGCAGAACATGCAGATTTGTTACATAAGTATATACATCCTATGGTGGTTTGCTGTACCCATCAACCCATCATCTACATTAGGTATTTCTCCTAATGCTACCCCTCCTCTATCCCCCAACCCCTGACAGGCCCCAGTGTCTGATGTTCCCCACCCTGTATCCATGTGTTCTCATTGTTCAGTTCCCACTTATGAGTGAGAACATGTAGTGTTTGGTTTTCTGTTCCTGTGTTAGTTTGCTGAGAACGATGGTTTCATCAACCAATATCTTAGAGAAATCTCATGATGAATAAAAAATGTGTAATTTGATTTTTCAAGTGATTAAAATTGTTGCAGCAATTTTAAATCACTCAAAAATTAAATAAAAATCAAAAATCAAAATTATTCAGCATGAGATTCCTCTAAGATATTGGTTGATTAGTTTATTAGAAATTTATTGAGAGCCTTCCCAGTACTAGGTACTTCTCAAGTTAATCATCGTCAAAATGTTACAAAACAAAGAGCAGAATATTTGGAATGTTTTTATTATATCATTTAATCTTCATATTTTAAAGAATCTTAGAGGTAGCCCAGCTTATGCAAGGTACATAGATACCAGACTTCTATTTAAATAGAAAGGATAGAATTGTATGGTGCCGCCCTCAGCCTGATCCAGTGCTCCCCAATCCTTTTATCCTGCTTGGCATCTTGCATTTCTAAAGTGTGTATCATATTTTAACATACCATATAACTTACTTACTCATTATGTTTATTATTTATTCTTTATGTCCCATTCAAGAATAGAGATTGATGAGGATATCTTTGACTATTCTATTCACTGATGTATCCTAAGTACCTAGAACAGTAGGTGCTCAACAAAATTTGTAGAATGAATGCACAAATAAAAACCTGGAGAGAATGATTTTTTCCAGGTGAAGAGTAACATACAGATTACTAGAGTTGCAGTTGGTCCACAGTCAGGCTAAGTCACTTTACTTTCTCTGGATAATGTCTTTCCCTTTGTATCACATTTCTGGGAAATAAATCATTGAGAGTAACTAACAAATAAAAGCTACACATGCCACACACTCTCTATATGATATTAATTACAAATACTTATCTCTACTAGATGCCAGAAGGGATAATAGTTACATACCCATCCCACTGAATAAGTTCAGTAATAACAATATTGGAAGGTCTCCTCTTGTTGCCATTTAAGGCTTCCTGTTCTGAATGGTCTGATTTGCACCATACTGGATTTGAACAACAGCTTAACCTCGTGGTTCATATTAGTAATTGTGACAAATTGCATTTTCTATGTTTACAACTTTAATTGGGTGTTCAGGATATTTCTTTAACTCTCTTTGTTTTCATTTGTGGTAAAATAAGGAATAACATCTCTCTTTGATTTAATTAAAAGGTGTATTTTGAAGGTGAGTTGGATAAAGTGTAAAAATGCCAGAGGCTCCAATCTTGAGCTCTGTGAGCTACATAATTCCTTCTATACACTTCTTTTAAACTTTTACCCTTGGAAAATTTGTCTATGGTATTTCACATAAGCAGTATAAGCCATAATGCACTATCAACAAATATTCTAAAGTTAAACTCAATTATATTTGTAATCCCTTATCATGTTATCAAGCAGAAAGTCATATTTGATTATATTTCCTCCAGAGTCCACATGATTTAATATGCATTGTTTAACATGTTTAATAGCTCTCCTATTACCTAATATTGTAAAACATTGCTGTTGATACCTTTAAAATACTTGCCAACATGGGGAGACTATGAGGTAACTCAAGAGTTAGTTGTTAGGCTACATTAGTTGTCACAAAATGTTTTCTTAAAGGGCCAGATAACAAATATTTCAAGAGTTGTGGGCCAAAAGGTCTTTGTCACAATTACGCAAACCTGCCATTAGAACATATAAGCAGCCATAGACAATACATGAACAAATGGATATGGCTGTGTTCCAGTA